AAGAAGAAAACATAGCATTTCCAGGAACGTTAATGCTTTTGAGGGTTTCTTGTTTTGTTTAAGACTGCTTCTAATAGTTGTTGTAACCTACTTGCAAGATGATCAGCTTGTAGTTGTTAATTATAGAGCAGAACAGTGTAATTGTCTTTCCGTGGGCAGGGTTAGATACTGAGACTTTTCTCTTTGAGAGTGTATGTGGCAATAAGATTTTCTGTTGAAGATGACTCTGGAATCAAAGGTTAGGAAGTTAAGATTATTACAGTAAGTTGTCTACTGTTTCAAGTATTGGCATTTAGCATTTTGATTCTGGACGCTATTTCTTAACAATCCTTTATTTCTGTTTCAAGTGCTCTATCAATTGCAGACCAGATGTTAGGATTTTAAGTGGTTTGTTTGGGATGTGTGAGTGTCAACCCAAGAGGGAGCAGTGGTGTGTTTTTTAACAGGGGACAATACAGGAAGGTTATGAAGGTGTGCTCAGTCAGTTTATCAGACAGGTTCTTTTCTGTATTCAGCCTTTTGTTTAATTCAGCCCTGGGCAGATGAACTGGGCTGAGTAGTAGTTGAGAAATCATGATTTGGCATTAAGGAGAAACAACTCCTTTTTGCCTTCCCTCCACATGCACCTTAAATACTTGTGTGAGACTAGATTTTAATCCCTGTGACATGTCCCATTCTGCTGAGTGGCTTGAATTTCTATCAGGGCAGTAAGGGAGCAAAATCTTGTCCCTAACATTTAAAGCAAACTAATTTGTCTGCAGTGCTATGCACAGTCCTTGCAATTAAAAAGTTCAAGCCAAATGCCAAGTGGCTGCAGAATGTCTTTTTTTTTTTTTGTAAGGCACTTAAAGTGTGGGTGAAACATCTGTTTCCTCCTCCCCGCAGCTCATTTTGGAGATTAATATAATTCTAGTGAAATCTCACTGTGACATGTGCTGCTGTTCAGTGAAGATGTTTCAAATACCTACATGAAAACTAATTGCACCTTCTGCCATTCACTGCATCTATTAAAAAAAAAAAAAGGAATTTCAAAAAGTTTTCTGAGCTAAAATGGTAGTTGCAGTCTGAGTTACACCTGCAATGTGAAACTGTGGCAGAAAGTACTTGAAAGCATGGAATTATTTGGCATTGCCCATGCCATATGTGCTGAGACATCACTGCCTCTGCAAACATGACTGTTCTTTTGCCATCCATATCTGTCCTCAACATGAAGAGCAAGGGGAGTGTGGAGCTCAGAGGGGAGATACATATACAGAGATATATTGTTCTGAGTCCCTTTCTTCTGCACAAATTCTCAGTTTGGTTTTGGGGAGTCAAAAATTCAGGCTTGCAACATGTTGTCTTTTCTGTGCAGAGATAAATTTCCTGTATCTCTACAGTCCATTAAAAATCCAGATGCTGGTGAGTAACTGTGGTGGGTGCATAGCATCCAAAATTTCAAACAAACCAACTTTCTTAAATTTTGCCACTCCCAATGACTGGGTGCAGCACCCTGCACTGTGCAGAGCTGTTTACACAGTGCTTACAGTGATGACAGAACTTGTTTCTGTGTTTAGATCATTTTGAGGCCCAGGCTCCTTGAAAACATGTGAAAAGCACCTCTGTGAGCTGGGCTGACCTCTGGCTGGGCTAACAGGTCGAGCTGGGGTTGAAGATGTTTCTGCAAGCAGAGGCTTTTTTACAATTAGTGTTCTTTTCCTTGGCTATCAGACTAACCACTGCGTATTCGTTAAAGCTTCTCTTTGCAAATAGACTACTACTAATTGATGCAGCTTACTGCTGTGAAATACAGAGGTGTTTTTGTCAGTTCCTGGAAAAAATTGACATTTCAGTTTGTCTCCCCTTCATCTCAGGCTCTCTCAGTTGGTGTGAAACTGTGTAGGTCTGGTGAAATCAACAGAACGGTTGTTAGGAGGAGTTACCATCCCTAGCTTTCTGGTACTCTCTGTGCAGCTGAGATGCCTTAGCCATGACCACCTTCAGTGTTGACTTAAAGTAATCTGCTTTTTTTGGCACTGACATGGATTGAGACTGCTTTCACAAGCATGCCCATGAGATAGTAGTACAGTAACAGCTGTATATTTAAATGTCAGTCACTGTAAGGCAATGCCACTGAAGCCACCAGTACAATTTAATAAGACAGATCTAGCAACAGAGGGAAAGTAATGAGTGTTTGTTGTCAGGATGCCTCCAGTTGTGATGGTAAAATCCCCATGAAGAACGTGGAAATCCCCATGACCTGAATTTCTTGTTATGAGAATTGTGGTTGAAAGGACAAAGTAGCTCAGTTAATTTACTGTCCTGAAGTGTTTTTAAAGATGCATCTTTGATGGGTGAGATTACAAACCAGAAAACTAGATAGGAAAGAAAGAGCACCCTGAAGAAAGACCCAGTATGTTTTAGTGAAGATAGCTATATATACACACATATATTTTAAGGTCAACATTGAACAGCTCTTTACCCAAAACTCGAATCTGTTGCTGCTTATAGAAATGAAATTGTGTGTTTGTCTAAGCCATTGAGATGTAATTTCAGTTTATACCGTGTTAGCACAACTAATCCTTTCAGTGATGTTCAGCTTCTGCCAATTCAGTCAATGGACTAATTGTGTGAAGTGAAGCATACAAGCACAGCAGTGTTTTATGTACTACATCTTACCACTTCCTGACCCTGTCTCACTGCACACTACCTTCTTGCAGTCTTCTAGCCAGATCTGTTGTAGAGGTAGAAAAGCCCAGATTAATTTTCCCTGCTTTGACAAGCTCCTTTACATTGCAGGAGGCCAGCTTTTATAGTGCATCCATAGGAATCGTCTCCACTACAGCCTTTCACCACACAGGAGACAGACTGAAGATGTAGGCAGCTGGCGAATATGAAAGCAATGAAGAGGTGTTCTGAGGTTGACAGTGCTTTTTATAGTACACACATTTTCTGGGAAGGGCATAAGAAGGGAGATAAACAGGAGATGATTGTGGCAAGCTGAGAAGTAGCTGTAGCAGACCAAGATGTTCCAAAGAGAAGATCACAGCAAAAAGGTAAGGGTGCCAACTTCATCCTGTCTTTCTTCCTGCTGCTTGAATATTTTCTTCAACATCAACAGTTTTTCCTTTGAAAATGCTGACATTTTCTGGAGACTCCTATAAATACTATAATAGCCATTCAGCATTACTTTGAGAAAAATAGAGTAGTATTTTTACAGTTCACTCTAGCCCCCTCAGTTCCTACTTTAACAGTGTTGGGTTTTTTTCTAGAAGTTCTGCAGACTGATGAAATATTGATAACAGTTCAAAGATCAGAAATATCTCTGCATAACTGTTGTATATAGAGTAATAGTCAATCAAGACACAGGGGGGGAAGTCATGTAGCAGTTGAGAAAAAGTCCTATAGAAGACTTTGACTCAAGACTAGAAATAACTGAAAATAACTCTGAAACTCTTATTCTTAGATAAACTGTTTTTACTTAAGGGTCTCCTGGCAAGGATGTATGACTAAAAGGACTATGAATCTCTATTATCAAAAGCAGTGTCATAATGTCATGCATGCATGCAAGGGGAGAGCGTCAAGGGGTTAATTTGATTGTGTTTGAGTCTAACAATGCAGTGTCACAGTGTAATCTAGGATGTTACTCAGCCTTGGCCTAAGTCTACTGTCAGCTGAGTAAATGATGAAGTTCCTTGCACTGGCATGGATTTGGGCCAAAACTGAGGGATTTTGAAAATCCCACTGGTAGTGTTCTCAGCGCAATTGTTTTAATATAGCTTACAGCTAGATCAATATTCATGTTCAGTCATCTAATTTTTCTTTCCTGTTTCTAAGTATACTTGAGGATGTCTTACTAAAAATGATAATGTTCACAGTTTTCTCTTATTTTAAAAAATACCTAAGCCAGCTTTCCCTAAACCTTCTCTGTGGTCTTCACTCCTGGGCAGAGAGCATATGTGGAAAACACAGTAGTACTGTGCACTGTTACAAGACTTTTTATAATGTTATGTGAAACAGAAAAGGGCCTTAAAATGATAACATAGTGTGCAATGATGAAAGCCTCCTAGATGGAAACAAAGCTTCCCCTGATTTTGAGTAAGATTTGGTCTGAATGCTCCTGAAAAAATCCTGTCCCTAGTTCTTTGGGTTTTATGGGAGCATCTGGTAGGGTATGTCAAACAACGTTACTTGCAGCAATTGGCCTGGATAACAGTTTCTAGTTTCTTGGTTATCAAATTTCTGCTCCAGGTCAGGCTTCATACGTTCAAATGGGACCACATTTGCCACCTGATGTTTTGGAAAAACTGCCTGGAAGCTGAAATGTATGCAGTAGCTGTGGGACTGACTGCCTTCAAAATTTGAGTGCTCTAAGAGTTGAGAACACTTGGAGGCCCATCATTGCTCGGATGAACTGAGCACCTTAACATCTCACCAGAAAGTAACAGATGATGACTACCTAATATTTCTAAAGCATGGCAGACTTGGAGGCCTGGACTAATTTTTCATTGGCAATGGGCCAAGTCATGTTATTAAATTTAAACACATGCATACAGGATTTCCCGCGTAAGGGTCTTGGCACCTTTTGAGTCTTAGCACGAGCACTTCACAGCTCTGAGATCTGCCAGAGTGGTTGAGAAATGAGGTAAATTCTTAGAACACTCTCAATGGTCTGGACTGAATGACCAGATTCTAATGTGCCTGAATGACTGTCCTTGTCATTTGTCTTTCAGGTCCTCAGGCTCCATCAGCCACATGCTGATCACATTGCAGCAGCGTAGGTGTTGCCATGAGGATCAGGAGGTGTCCTGTCTGCTTCGCAGCTTGTCTTTTGATCCTGCTGGGTAAATGCCAGAGAGAGCCCAATATAGAGGCAGAGCACACATTTTAAGAGAGCTGACAAGCCAGTTCCTGCACATACATGCATCTGTGTAAGAGTACTCCAAGTCCAGGGGCCTCTGTGGCACTGCATGGACCTAAGAACTGTTGCATGTGTGGGGTTAGACTCTGCTTTTTGAGACATGATGCTCCGACGAGGATTTATTCTGTTTCTCCCACGACTTGTAGGCCTGCTGGTGGTGGCCTGTTGCTTGGTGTCTATTGTTTATATGTTGGCTTGCACACCCAAGAGTGACAGCCAGCAGCTTGCCTTGCCCAGGGTGCACAGTCCAACTGCAAAGGAGGGATATGAAGCCATTCTGCAAGAGCGAGAAGAGCAACACCGCAACTACATCATCAGCTTGAAGAAACAAATTGCCCAGCTGAAGGCTGAACTCCAGGGCAGGAGTGAGCAGCTTAAGAATGTGCAGGATCAGTACCCAGACCCCTTGGACATTCAGCTTGACCACAGTAACCCAGAGAAGGCCCAGGCTAACCTGCTGGCTTTCCTCCATTCCCAAATAGACAAAGCAGAGGTGCACAGTGGCATTAAGCTGTCCACAGAGTATGCAGCTGTGCCCTTTGAGAGCTTTACCCTGCAGAAGGTGTACCAACTGGAGACAGGGCTGACGCGCCACCCAGAAGAGAAACCTGTAAGGAAGGATAAGCGAGATGAGTTGATAGAGGTGATCGAGTTAGCTGTTGGGAGTTTGAACAATCCAGAGGGGGAAGGCAATGCAAAACACCGTGTATACACAGCCTCCGACTTCGTTGAAGGTTTGTATGCAGACAGCAGGTTAGAAGGTCCACATAGTGCTGGTAAGGGGTTCTGGTGTGATTGCGTTGCTGAGGGAGATGGGTGTTATCTCGGAGCACAGATGTTTGGGACGGTGTTAGTGCTGTGACCCAGCAATGCTGTCTCAGGCACAACTGCAGAATGGCAGCTTTCCTGGCGAATGGGACTTTGACAGGAGAGCCTGCCAGTCTCTCATAGTGACCACCGATGTGTGCTCACAGCTCTCTAGTCATGCACTTGCCTCAGAACTGACAAAGCAAGGAGTGAATGACCAGGCTGCAATCCCAGATCTGTTACCAGTGCTAAGACTGACAACTGCAGTTCAAATCCAAACTCCAACATTACCCTTATTTCCACCTGCACAGCTCTGCCAGACTCAGAGTGGCAAGACAGGTTTTGAGGACAGCAGCTGAGGAGCTCAGTAACTCAGCTGATATCAGCTATAACTTCAAATGACTAGGAAAGCTTAACCTTTACAGGGTACCTCCTATACCAGGAGTGGTGCACCTTAGCCCTTGGATTCTAAAATGAGCTAAACAGTCTTTACCCTCACATGTAATATTGAGGCAGTATGTGTGGATTTTTAAAATGCCACTTCTAACAGCAATCAGTGTTTACTTCACATCTTCTGTCACCAAATCCAAAGTGCTTACTTGTTTCCAGTCAGGCTGTTTTTTCCCAGCCAGGCAGAGGCACCAGGTGTATTCCAGGAGTTGTGATGTCTCTGTGGTTGATTTCAGGTTAGCCCCTGCTGCACAGCAGCTTTGAGTTAAGAGGGCAGGAACATGTGCAGCAGAAACATGGTATGAGACAAGATTTCACAGGTCTTGTTTCCAAGGGCTCATGGCTGTTTCTCATTCAATAAGAGAGCTACATTTCTACTTGTAGTATGGCTGTCCTAGTTTCACTAGGAACTGGCATGTTCCCTGCTTGTTGTTCAATAGTGTTGTCTGTAAGTGAGACAGTGGACCTAGCTGAATTTTGTAAGGAGAAAAAACTTGCTTTCCTCATCTTCAGATGTTTGTGCTGCAGACTTAGAGGGCATGTGGGTAAGATGCCTACCTTTCATGGAATGACTTCTCTAATGTGCTGAACACAAGCCTCCATGCTTATCCCAAATCACTAGTGATTTTGCCGTGGATTGTTTTCTTCATCTAATATTTATGAATAGAGCAGAGAAAAATGCATCCTCCGTGTGATGAGGACAAACTACTGCTGTTGTGCAATGGCCAGTTGTTCATTTCCACTCTCTGTGTATGTTTCTGCAGCAATCATGGTATTGAGAGACAGTAAGGTCCTGAAGCCGTGCCGGGATATACCTAATAGTTGGGCAAGTGCCTCCCACAGCAGGGACATGAGTTGTTCAGACTGTGGAGACCTTGTTGAGGCAGGTCCTGGCTCTCCTCTGGTCCAGGCACTTCCTCCACACCAGTCAAATTCCTTTTGCTCAGAGATGGGACCAGGGCATGGGCAGGGAACTGGGAAGTGCTGCTGGCTGCCAGCATTTGAATGCATCATGGAGCTACGTGCTTCCAGTCTCCTCCTTTCTGTTTGTTGTTTGGTTTATCATTTCAAAACACATTTCTACTGTTTATTATAGGAGCTGAACAAGCATATATGACTGTTTGGCACCAGCTCTTTCATGGGGAGAGGGTGAGGGGAAAGGAAGCAATGTTTCCAGCCATACATTGCTTAATATTCCACTAAAGTTACCTTTTTGCTTAGAGCCTGCCTTTATGCAGTCAAGGGTCTTTGCCTGGGTACCAGTGCTGTCCTTGGGGAACAAGGCAGAATCTGGTGTGCAGAAAGGCATGGGGAAGGGATGCACGCTGCAGTGCTGGCTCTGCAGAGGTTCTTCAAGCCAGGCCTTGCTAGCTTTCACATACCATGGTGAAATAATCCAGAGGGAGGAAGCCCTGCATGCAACTCAGAGATCAAGAAACTGGAGCCCTGCATGCAGCTCACAGCTCAAAAAACCTTCCTTCTGTCCTCCCCTGCAGAGCAGGACCTTGCTTCTGTAGGCACAAGGTAACAAATTCTCAGTCTTACTCAGCAATGCAAACTGATTTATCTGCAAATGCAGGGATCTGTGCATTAGGGCTGGAAACAAACAGCTGACTTGGCAGAAGATTTCCCTGCAGAGTTCCTTTGGAAGTCTCTGTCATCTCTTGGCAGTCTCTTTTCCCCCATCCTCCATTCTGCAAGGATGGCAAAAACTACCGATCAAAGCACAAACAAATCCATTGCTCTGTATAACTTGAGCAGGAGAAGGGAGGACTGAGTTTTCTGTTCCAATTCTGCATTTCAGGTATGGTTTAGACTCAGAACTTGTTTTGAGACAGCGCTCTGCAGGAGCCACTGCCTACACAACCAGTTAGTAACAGGCTGGATTCCATGGCAGCTTCTGGCAGCTTCATACCAATCCAGCAACACAGCAACCATGAGCGGTGTTAGCCAGCTAGCAAAGCCAGCTGTTTTCATTTTCTGGAACTGCCCAGGGTAGCTGGAGCTTTCTGGGAGATGTGGCCCAGGTCTGTACTGGAAGTAATACCACTTAACCCCATAAGCTTTTTATATTCTAGCTGCTTTAGCAATAACAGCATGCAAAAGCTCTATGCATGTCTATATTAAAGGTGGGGCTACTGCCCTTGTCTTAAGGTTGAGCAGATGGAGGAATGTGCTGAAATGAAAATTAGGTAATCGGGATCAGAGACAGGATTCAAAATCTGAACTGCTGCTCTCGATACATGAGACTTGTGTCTTTGTTTCTGCTCTATTCAGCAAAGCCTTTGACACCAGCTTTACGCAAGTGTGTTGCTGATCCAGAGTCTTGCTAGCATATAGAGTGGTTCAAGTTAATCTTGTTTGCTTGGGCTTCTTGTGTGGATTTTTATATTCTTGTGGGTCACATCTGGTATCTGCTATCACTTTTTCAGTACTAGTTCATTGCTAACGTATGTCAATAGGCAGGGTGGTGGTGTGGTGCAATAGATTTGGTTAGGGTCTGTATCTCTTCCTCTTTTTCCATTTTGTGCCTTTATTCTTGTCTTTGCAGAGGGAAAATGTTTCTTCAAACACTTCTAATGTTCAAGGAGAAATGTTTTGTCTCTGTAGCTGGGATCTCTTAAAATAAGTGTTGCATCCTCTGCAGTTTCTAGATAGAACCACTTGTGCGTGGGAATTAGACTGTGACCCTAGTACCTTACATCTGAGCTAAACTCCTTCTCAGCAGATTGCTGTTACATTAAATTTGGATAGGATTCTCAGACAGTTCTCCTTCCAGGAGTAATAGCTGACACGTGGTGGAATTTTCCATTTTTTCTTACTCAAAACCAAGAGAACCACACCTTCTCCCTGGGGCCCGAAATGTATCCATCTGGCTGCTACTCTGCTCTGCTTCTCTCTTCACAGAGGCACTTGGGTTGTTCAGCTGCTATAATCCTCCCTTCTCCCCTTTATTCCTCCCACTTCTATACCAAGTTCGCTGGTTTTCTGCCATGAGGAGTTAGTAAGAAATGACATGGAAAAGATCAGAAATTTCTGTGTATTATAAGCAAGCAAAGGACAGCTCTGTTTCCAATAGAAAGCCAGTTGCTCAGTGGGCAGAATAACAGGTCTGGTCATTAATTTATGTAAATGGCAGCAGAGCTGAATAGATTTGGAGGTCATTCATTTTCTCAAAGATGGAGATAATAATTTGGAGACCCTGACAAGCCTGAGTGGTGTGTTCCATAAGTGAATGTAATCACTGTCTGGTGATACTTTTTCCCAACAGGAACAGCTCCAGAAAATCCCTGGATTGCTTCAGAAACGCCCTGCCATGACACCGTCAAATATGCTGTGTCATAAGTTTTCCTACCTGAAGTACGTGGCTGTCTAATGACTGGAATTTTAAATAAGATCTCAGAGACAAATGAAAAGGAGTAGCTTTGCTTTCTCAAATTGACGGCTACTGGTGGTGGGCTACCTGATGCAGTTTTGCCCTGGAAGCTTACTGGGAGAAAGGATGATGCTTTTCCTCAAAGGATAAGATGGTGTATTTTACTGCATGTGAAGTGGGAAGGCCACCATAATATTGAGTTAAAATGGGGACAATGAATGCTGATAAATCCTAATAGCGGTTCCTACAACATCTAATGAAATACAAGTAATGAGCACGGGTCCAGGGAGTGTTTCTATTGGCAGTGGAAGACCTGAAACCTATGGTCTGTGGAACCGAGGCTAAAATTGTCATCCACTCAACAGCATTTTGTTAAGGTTGTGTGGCTGTTTGCTAGTTATCAGTTCCATGTAGATCTCTGAAACCTGTTTGCCTGCCCTGCTGAATAGAGAACAGGTATTTTCCATTTCTTTAGACAGCTCTGGGAATTGCAGCTCTGAAGACTGGACTCTTATTGCTCTTTAGTCAACCCTTCAGCCCAGGTCTTGTTTTGCTTCTCGCTTGTCCTTTTCCTTCATTTTAGGGCCAGCCTCTCTGCTGACCCAAAGCTCCTGTTTACTTTTTTACATTGGGTTTCCAAAGGCTTTGACTTTTCTCCCTGCCTCTGAAAGGAACGGCGCATATTCTGAAACATAGAAGCTGTAATGGAAGCGATAGATGATCAATTAACCTTCTTTTATCACATAGTGAACATGTAGGCTTTCCAAGGCATCCATTTCAGAAGCAACCTTCTCAGGAAAAGTTTTTTTGTTTTACTTTTTTGAGACTACTTTTTTTCCCCTCCTTGTAGCTCATCTCTTAGAATTGAGGCTACTTGATGCATCTTTTGGAATCACGTAAAAAGTCCTGATGGCACAAATGAAGTAGTGCCTTCGGAAATGGAAAAACCTTGTGAAAGGCAGGATGTTCTGCTGGGTGAGTCCCCAGAGTGACTCAAAACATTCAGGCTCATTTCCAAGGCTCACTGCCTGACCTTGGGCAAATCACTTTGTTCTCTGCTTCTAAAAAGAAGATGCTTAAAAAAGGAAAGGTGCTTAAGAAAGGAAAACAAATGGTTTAAATGTGCATCAAGAATAGCCATATTTAATTACATGCATTAAACTTGCATACAATTCTCTTCAAGATAAAATGTAAGGATTATAAATTCTTGGATTACCATCTTGTGCAAGGGAGCCTTGCCTTCACCTAAGCTGCTTGTTTTTAGCTGTAGTAGAAGTTCTGAACAAGAACAAAACTGCAGAGTTAGAGGCAGCCTCTGTTGATGTGTGTATAGCACTAGCAGGGATTCCTTGGGTTGCAACATGCATTCTGCTTTAAGGTGCTTCTTGCTTATTTGGCAAAGCTTCCTTTATTCCACAAATGTAGTATATATCTCTGGGGAAGTGGTATTTGTGGGGTCATTGTTTCTTGGCTGGGGCAGAAAAGGATGTAGAAGCAAAGACTTTGAGATGTTGCATGGTAGATATTATTAAATTGGTTAATTTAATTTAGATCTGTGTTATTATAAAAAGTGTCAGTTCACTATGTCAAATGTGAAACAGTCCTATCTATTTCTGTCTAGAGAAAGTGCAAATCAGATTTAATTTGGATTTTTGTTTAGCTTAATGTCAAAAGACTACCTTAACCTTCCACAACACAAACTTCCTTGGCAAGACCTATGTTCAAAAACTGCCTGAGTAAATGAATGCACCCAGCAACACACTTGGATCATCAGCAGGCTTTCTGTAAGGATAAATGGGTGAGCAGAATTCAAAGGCCCAGATTTCCATTCTCTGGCCACCGGGAGGAGGAAATGCAGGGGCTGTTGGGTCACCATTCAGATGATCTCAAGTGCAGGCTCAAGTTCAGTAACAGATGTAGTTCATGGTCTGCACCTGGGGCAGACTATATAGAAAAAGCTAGGGGGAGTCAAGGGCATAGCTTTAGAAGATTAGCAGTAAAAGAATGATGGAGCTACTATCTCACTAGATTCATCTGCTACACTGGAGGGAGGATTGGAGCATTTGTTGAATCAGCTTATATTAAAAATAAAACATGAAGTGAATAATAGATCAGTAAATCTGCATATAGTATAAACCAACTGAAGTGTTCATTAAGAATAAAACACTTACATAATGATAGTGAAAATAAGACAGTCCACAGAATTCTGGCCAGATAAAATCACACCTCATTAATCTTTTGGATGTTCTGGACATACCAATGTAAAAGGTACTATACAAGATGAAGGGCTTATGTCATTTTGCTGTTCAAAGAAACCTTTGACCTAGACCTTCACAAGAAATACAGACAGAGCTGACAGTCTGTGGGTCGGATGCACAGCAATGTTACACATCAGGGAATGACTAAGATTTAAAAAAAACCAAACATTATTTTGGCCAAGCTATTCTTCATAACCAGATGGGGAGGAAAAAAAAAGAAGAAACAAGTCAAGCAGAGGAGTTTTCTTCCAGACGTGTTTTACTTGTTTCTTGAGATTCTGCAAGAGATGGAAGGCAATGCAATTGTACTCTTCTACTGATGAAGTTGTTAGGATATTTACAGTGGCTTAACAAGTAGTTAGAATTAGCATTTAATTATTCTTTCTTAAACCTAACGGACCTAACTATGAAAAAGCTTTATTTCAGTATGCACTGTAGGGACTGAAGTGTCATTTAGAATGGGTAAAATACATAGCCTTTTTGCCAACTTTATCTCATTTAAGGTATCAGAATAGTGTTTCAGTGGGGCATGACCAATGCTTTTATAGTTCATGCCAGCCCTCAGCATGGGACCAGTTTCACCCATCAAGTATGTTAAAAGTTCATTCTGTACAGGGAATAAGTATATGCTTGTATGAATTAAATATCCTTAATGTCCTGGGTCTAGCCTCTTACAAACTCCATAGTGTCATCCTTGCAGACCATTACTCGCCCAGGAGTAGGCATCATTGCCACAAACAAAATAAAAGTCTCTTGAGAGTTGAGTAACAGGAGACTTTTGTCCTGATTGGCAGTGGGTGAAGTTGATGGCTGCTGGGGCCTGGTTGCATAGTTATATTAGGGGACTTTCCAGAGAACCTCCCAGAAAGGAGGAAATGAATGTGCTCATCAGGAAATTGCTTTTCTGGGAAGTGGCCTAATCACTCATATTGCAGAGAGGCAGGCTGCCTTTCGCAGTCTCTCTGCATCACCATTACCATGCATGCCTGCAGTGTGCAACTGGAGCAGTCTGAAAAATAAGGACAGTATGTCTGCTGGGTTATACTGAGTGTGAGCAATTGGTAACCTTCAGGGGTTTGTAACTCAGCCAAGCCTAGGAATGTGCCTGCGAGAATACCAAGTAGCTCCTGCAACCCAGGCCTATGTCCCTGCCAGAGTGACATCCTCTTCCCAATGATGGTCGATTGCATACTGCTGTAAAAGTAAATATCTTATGCCTCTGCTGCCTTTTCAGCCTAGGTGTAACACATGAAGATTGCATCCTTTTTTTTCTACCCAGGAGCCCAGCTTTAATCCAAGATGTCCTCTCTTTTGTTTCACACAGGGATCTACCGCACAGAAAAAGACAAAGGCACATTGTATGAGCTGACTTTCAAAGGAGATGCAAAACATCAGTTCAAGAAGATTGTTTTATTCCGGCCATTTGGTCCTGTAATGAAAGTGAAAAATGAAAATGTCAATATGGCTGACACACTTATTAACGTCATTGTGCCATTGGCCAAGAGAGCCAGCAAATTTCGGCAATTCATGCAGAATTTCAGGTGGGTTTCCATTCCAGTGCTGCCTTTACTTTTTTTACTTGGAAAGTAAAATGCAATTTCAGGAGTTATCAAGGCCTCACTCAGTAAAAATCATGCTACTTTTATATAACATTTCATTGTGCCACTAAGAAGTCGTTTTTGAGATTATAGAGACTGAAAGGCATTTGGCTGCTTAGCGCACTGTGATTAACAGTAAAAGCAATTATATTCCAGTCATCAGGGTTTCTGATTTGCATGTACCTGGCTTATGTGTCTCAATCTGTTTTGTTGGGGCACACGCAACTGTAGCAACATGAGAATTGCATGCCATTAGTTGCAAAGGAACATTTCTAAGGAAAAAGGGAATTAGTGCTCCCAGACACTTTGCCAGGCCCTATTAGAGAAAAGATTAAGGCAATAAGAGGCAAGGAAATGTATTTGAACTTTCAGGATAGTTACTTTTAAACTTCTTTTATTTTTAAGCACAGAGATGATGTTTGGAGGGAGAATTTAACTGAGATGTAGCTTTAAATAGCTGCCCAGAAAAGGCTGTGTTAGCAACAGATACTGACTCTTGCAATGGGATTTGTTTTGCCTAATTACAGCCATCTAAAAATAGGCTCCTTGTCTAAATTAGCCATCTGATAGATGCTTGGTTTAGGATAGGAGAAATCACCCTCTGGTCATGCTGATCTCTCTGCTGATTATAGATGAACTCTTGCTGACTGAACTTTGTGCAAGTGAGGCATGATGTCTAGCATTAATTCAGATTGGTCCTATCCTTAGGCTACTGGCTTGATCTCTGGTTGATGCTTAGATTCTAGTAAATGTTTCTTAACAAAATGCCAAACTGAACTCTGGAATATCTGTGACAAAAAATCAAGATTAAGAGGTAGGGTATGTATAGCTTCTTTAAAATCCCCCTTTTCATATTCTCCTAAATGCCAGAGTTACTGCCTGCCTGCTCATTCTTCCTGGGGCTGGATGGCCTGTTTTAACAGTGTCCTCCTATTAATATAACAAACACTGCTTAGAGAGTTTTTTCCTAATCTGCCTGAAAGATAGTCATCTGATAGAGGCAGTGAGCCCCTTTGTCAAGTCAAGGATCTCTGTCAGTGAATGGTGCCCTCAGGAATGCCTTCCAGGGTTCACCCTACTCTGCCTTCCCCAGTGGGTGTAGGTTATTGAAGAAAGCTAACTTCTAGGACAAGTCACAAATCTGTCTCTGTTCTCCAGGGAAATGGGCATTCAGCAGGATGGGAGAATTCACCTCACTGTAGTTTACTTTGGAAAAGAACAAATGAATGAAGTCAAATCGATACTTGAAAATACCTCCAAGTAAGTACCTGAATATCTGATGTGTGCTGTTCATACACAGAGATCGTACCATGAACTGGAGACTAGACAGCTGTCCAAACTTGTAGTTGTGCCAAAAAGTTCTAAACTGCATTGGAGAAAATGGCTTTTTCTCCTTTGTATCAGATAAAAGCAGTGTTACCCTGACAGTCCCATATACGTGGTTTTGTGTTGCTGGTGTTGGGAACCACAAAGCAAATTTTACTGAATTTACCTCAGTGCAGCTTTTTTTTTCAGACTGGTAACTTTTTTAGTGCTTTTGAAAGTGGCTTGAACTGTTAGGACTGAAAGTTTACTTCCAAAAGCAGGTGCAGACAATTTCAGTAGAGCACACGGGAACTAGATGCTTTTGGCCAGGTCTGGTCTATCGTGTTTGCTTGCATAGCTGTGTTTGTCAAGAGCATGTGGCAGTCTAGCCTTTTGTTACCATCTCCATCTGGGAAGAAGACCCTTGTATAGATATAGTAATACAACCACAGTATTTTATATTTGCCTACTAAAGATATTTTTGTCCATCTAAGCCTTGTTGGGATTTTTGTGAGGTCTGCCCAAAGAATGTCTGTGACAGGAATGCTAGTGTAGGATTACACAGGTCAAGCTCTGGATGTGGACATAGTGGAAATCTCCTCAGGACTCAAAGAGGACATCTCTTCCCTCAAAATACTCTCAGAACTTTGATACTACAGATTTCTAGGTTGTTTCATACTGGGTTCCCGCCCCCACTTGTATTAAGAGCTGGAAAGACAGGGTAAGTTGCTGAATATTTTCCTTCTCCTAGGTCAGCCAACTTCAAGAACTTCACCTTCATCCAGTTGAATGAAGAATTTTCCAGGGGCAAAGGATTAGACGTTGGTGCTCGATTTTGGAAAGGAAACAATGTTGTTCTCTTTTTTTGCGATGTGGACATATACTTCACAGCTGAATTCCTGAACTCCTGTAGATTAAACACACAGCCAGGTACTGCTACTCATGAAGTGTATTGTCTTTCAACAGATTTTTACCTATTATGGCCTTCACCAGAGTATTCTTGCCTTTGAATTGGTAATGAAGCTGCTGTAAATCATTCTTGAAACCTAGAGAACTAATTAACACATGTATAAAAATTCCATTGCTGGTTGGCTTTTGGAAGGTTATAATTCTCTTGCTCCCACTGTGAATGAATTTCTTGCCTTTAGCACCTGTGCTTTCTGGAACAGGGTCTGTTTGTTAATTATATCCTCACGTTCACATTCTCATGCAAAGAACATAGGATCAGTCCAAAACTTGTGTGACTTTGGGTTTGGGCAGCATCTTGTAAGAGAGAGAAGTGTGTTTTATACCACTTTAAAAAAAAATAACCCACTGTCATTTCCAGGGAAAAAGGTGTTTTATCCTGTTCTCTTCAGCCAGTATAACCCCAGTATAATTTATGGCCACCATGATTCCATCCCACCTTTAGAACAGCAGCTGGTAAGTACATGCTTCTCTGAATGCCTGCTTTTATTTGGACAGAGCATTTTTTAAAGGCACATGTGCTCTTGGGTAGCATTTCCCTATTCCTTGTGCACAGTGACTACCACACAGACAAAATTAACTACAGCAGTCACCTTACTGTGAGTTCTGCAGTTAAGTTTCACAGGGAAGTGTCTTGGTGCCATTTATTTTAACACTTTTTTCATGTTTCATACAGGGAACCTAAGAATTTAAACCATGTGTGCTTCTCTGCCAGAAAGGATTTTCTAACTAGCGAACAATTCCTTCATGGTGTGCTGTCTCGGGCTGACAGTCTCTGATCTTGTTCTCATTTCTTCCTTGCACTGAATAGTTTCTTTGCTTGCATCTTGGAGAGCTGACATTTGTAAAAAGCATAGATATCCTTAGATGAGTCAGTGAAAACAGAATTCCAGGGTCTGTCACAGTTATTTCCCCACTTACTTGAACACCTACAGTGGCTTTTCCCATCCCACAGTTCATGATTAAACTGCCTGCAAGCAGACAGTGTGTTTCTGACATGTACCACGTTGTCTCAACGTCAAAAGACATGCTTGGAGTTGTCCCTTCTGGCTTTAATCTGTCACTGATACAACACAGCATAACTCCACTGATTTCCATCTCATCTGCTTATCTTTGGTATGAGAACAAAGCATTATTTTTAAAAACATTGTCATAAGGCATATGATTAAAACATGTAGTTAAACCCAGGTGAATCTCCTTGATGAGGAGGAAGCTGTTGTGAGGAAGAAGCAGAGCACGCAGATGAGAGGTTCACGTGAATACTAGTGGCAGAGCCATTGCTTGGCACTGCTGCAGATGGTAGTCTCCATTCTCTTGTGCTCTGGTATTGCATTGTCTTGAAACTAAAGGGGTGATAGAAGTGGTGGGTTTCCCTTTATGTACACCCTCCATTCTTGCTTCTCTCCAGAGTCAGTGGGTCACAGTCCTTTGCCCAGTAGTGCTGGTAAGTGGCTGAATTTTCAAATTGAAGCATAAGCCAGCTATGTGGCTTCATTCAGTTCCTCTGGGTCAGGTCCCAGCCTGCCACAGCTGCCCCTCTTACTGCCAGCTACTGCACCTATCAGGGCTCAACCTGTCCCAGGCTGGACACTGTCTCCAGAGCATTCCAGCTTCTATTGTTGTTCTCAGTAAGTAAGAATTAGGAGTGTTGTGAGCCCAGCAACAGTCACAGCTGAAAAAGATCACTATGGGTCTGAGTCTAGTCTTCTTTATCGTTACCCCCACCTTGTGCAATCCCTTTAGGAAAATGAAGAATGAGAGTTTGAAAAGTGCACCCAAATTATTTAAAATATTTTTTTGTCTGCTGCTCTCTGTGTTATCCAACAGGTAGCCAGAAAGTCTTTTACTGAAGAGTCTGGAAAATCCTTTCCACTGTTTTTTTTTCTCAGAGGAAACTTATTCTGATAGTACCATGGGATTCACGTTAGCTCTTCTCTCTCTGATGAGGGCCTGTCAGGGATCCTCAGGCTTGTAAGCACTGTGCTTAGGAAATGAAATAGAGTTTAGCTCTCAAGCTAGCATAAATTCCACAAAGTACATAGTCAGGATTGTGCAAATATTTATAGCTAATATTTGAATCGTAAAATATGATGCTTATGTCAGAAAAACTTCTTGATTTAAAGAAGTACTGTCAATCTCATTTTTATGTAGATTTTTATATTTTCAGCCCACGTTAGTTCCCAGGCATGAGGCCAGATCTGTGCCATTAGAACAAGACAGTGTTAGCTCTCTGTTCTGGTACTCAGGCTGCTGAGAAAGAAAAGCCTTCAGAAATCTTTCAAAGAATTTGATTTGTGCAGCAGCCACTTGCACTAATGGGAAGTAATAATGCTAATGCATACGAGTAGCTTGCTGGAAGGGCATCATTATGGAGATTTCTTGCTACAGTGCAGACTTGACAGATACAATCTTGTTTCCTTTTAATTGGCTTCTGCAGCAGCTTAGCTTTTTGAAGGAAAGGAGAAATTAGAAAAGAGAGGGATAGCAATGTGAGCAATAAAATTAAAAAAAGCCATTGAGGTGTCAAGGTTTATGAACAAAAAGGAGAAGCATGAACAAGAAATCAGGAGAGGCTATTTTGGAAGAGGATTTTTTGGTGAAGGAAATGCTGGAATTTGTAAATACAGAAATGGAAATTCTGTCTCCTCATCTTCTGTAACTTTGTCGCAAGTGAAGCCAAAATTTTCAAAAATAGCTGCTAAAAGGTAGGTTTGTAACCAGACCTTCTAGAGTGTGAAGTACTGCTGACTTGCTTATAGGATTTAAATACCTGTCCCAGTCCCTTGAAACTCTTGGATATCTCACCAGATTGGGTTAGGTCACTCACACACATGAATTATGTGAATTATTTTGTATCTGCTTTTGAAAATCATAGCCATGGTTTCTCACTGCTCTGATTTTCTACCTGTAATACATAATGTTTTCATGGTCCACCTCAGTAATATAGACTGCACATTCATTATTACAAAGGCTTTTATGGGATATATATGTACCACCTAACATTTCTGGCCTTCAATTTTAGCTGGATTTAGCAGTTCTGTATTGGAAAACTATTCTTACCACTTTCCTGTTTTTCATCAAAATTAAGGTAATCAAAAAGCTGTCACTTGTGTGATCAGATTAGGACCACTGTTTTCTTCCTCTTGTGGTCCACAATGCAGATGCCACCATCTGCTCTACAGCCAGCAGAGTCTGGCTTCCCTGGTTTACCAGTATCTTATGTTGGATTTGAATCCTGTAGAAACTGACAATTTTGGAGGGTGTTTTGTCTGCAAAGAAGTAAACTCTAGAGAGTGATGTGCTATTGCTCCACTTGGTCTACGACAGCAGGAGTGGAGCAAAACCTGATCGTTCCAGATCAGGGGGTTTATCCATGATAGCTAATGACACAGCTGGTTTTGGGGGGCAGAAACATGCAATGAGTGTCTACAAAAACTGGTTCAGGACCAGCCATGGATTTACGTGGTGAAGAATAAAAGGGCAGTTGCTGCTATTTCTGACCACATTCAAGGACTTGTCTGCTGCTGACACTGAAAGCATTTCTGGTCCCATATAAACATTCCTTTCCCTCCATGCAGATTATTAAAAAAGAAACTGGATTTTGGAGAGACTTTGGTTTTGGGATGACTTGCCAGTACAGATCTGATTTTATCAACATAGGTAAGAAAAATACACTCCAATACGTCTGCGTTTTTACTGAAACATAGAAAATTGTGATCAGCTTCCCTGTCCTTGGCCAGTGTGTCTATGCCTCCGATTTGCAGTAGTGCTCTGATTAGATGTTCAGACTATTCCTATGTGCCGTAGAGGTTACCAGAATTTAAGTGCTGCTCAGTACAAATAAAGCAATTTTGTCTGATAGTGAAAGATTTGAAGTTAAGAAATTTGGACACTTTGATGTTGGCAGAAAGCATGGCTGGTTTAAAGGTCTGACTGGAGCCAGAGAACAGCTGTAGTGCAATTAATAGCATCCAGTTTGCTAGTATATATTTCTAGTTTTATTTTGGATTTTGTTTGTGTCAGGTGGCTTTGATCTGGACATTAAAGGCTGGGGTGGTGAAGATGTACATCTGTACCGCAAATACCTTCACAGCAACCTCATTGTGATCCGAACGCCTGTCAGGGGTCTCTTCCATCTGTGGCATGAAAAGCAATGTCTGGACGAGTTAACCCCAGAGCAGTACAAAATGTGTATGCAGTCCAAGGCCATGAACGAGGCATCTCACGGCCAGCTTGGGATGCTTGTTTTCAAGCAAGAGATTGAGACACACCTGCATAGGCAGAAACTGAGCAGTAAGAAGACATGAAGCCAGAAAGGGAGGCAAAAAGCCTCTGAATTGGACTATAGGGTGTTTTGGAAGAGAGTTGCTAACAAGAAAAGACAGGATGAGACTGAAAGAGGATGGAAATTCCAGTGGGATGGCAGCAAAAGAAGATGAGGGAAAATGCTTGTCCTCCCTTCTGTTTTTTTTTTTTTTTTTCTTAATAGGGCTTTTAAGTACTCCATTAGCCTGACTGTTCAGCATTTGCTTCTGGGGGAGACTTGAACACTTGATGAGATTCAAGGTCACAGAGACAATGAACATTACAGAAATGCCAGTGTGGTATTCACAATAACAAATGGATGTGCTCTTCCGTTTAGATGTTTGTAAGATGTGTACAGTTATTTAAAGGACTGACCCTTCAGTGGGCCAATGATAATGAGTTATTTTCTACATCTAACCTGACATATCTAAAAAGGGCTATTTTTGAATAAGTACAGAGCTCCTGCTCTGAGGAGGACATCTGATTGTTAACGATGGTTAAGCTGGAGTGACCAAAAATCTTTTTCCCTTAAGCGGCTAGGGCGGGGCCGGGGCAAGGACGGGGGGACAGCAGCAGTGCACTAACAGGGTATTCCTGGTTCATTCAGAGACAGGAGGCATCTCAAAAAGTGCTTTCTAAAATTCAGAAAGAGAAAGCCCTACCGGTCAAGTGTGATGTTTCAAAAACGCTGGAGGGTAGTGTTTGTTCTCTTCTGTGGACAGTGAACAAAAAGCAATGAGCCATGTCTGTATCACATGAATCAGATGGTGTATTTCTGCTTTAGAATACTGTAAATATCTCAAGATTTATTTTTAAATGAAGTTGGTTTTGCTTGGGAATTATTTTGTCATACTTCAGGTTTTCTTCTTCTAGCCTTACTAGGAAATAGTACAGCCTTCCAACACTTGGAAAATGCTCTGCAGATCTGTTTCCTGTGTTTCCTGAACTGGGTTCAGATAAGTGAAGTGATTTTTCTACACAACCTGGGTGCTGGAAGGCAGAAGCTTTACCATGCTGAAGAAAAGGAAATACATAGCAACTTGCAGTACTGATTTAGGAGGAGGCTTTAAACTCTGAATGTCAGATACCAAAACTGATGAACATTTTCTGACTTTATACCAAAGTATTCCTTCTAAACCAAATATAGAATCTTGCCCAGGGCATAGCAAGCTTTTTGTAATTAACAAAATAAATTTTTGTGATGGATTACTGGACCCTGCAAATTCTCTTATGATAATTACAGGTGCATCCTAAAAATTAGTCTCTTTAATAGATTTTTTTTCAGTTGCCTAAAACTGTTGAAAGCATGAGTTACTGCTCTTACAAAGCATTTTCTTTCAATGTTGACTGCTGTTTATCATTTTAATATATACTAGCCAACAAAACCTGTATGGGCTTGGAAATCCCATTTGCTTACCTAAATGCTGTTTCTCCAAGTGGTCTCTTTGTTTTATAGCTTCAGATTAATTCAAGGCAGTCTGAAACCAGATTCTAATTTGGTTTTTGGCTTGTAAAAGCTGGGGGAAGAAATATGCAAGATAGCACTGAACAATGAATAAAACACTATTTGTCGTGCCACTGTCTGGTAGGAAGAGCGCTTATGAACCTCTTCTGAAAGCACTGCATACAGAATCTGCAGACAGAGACCATGCTACTGTAAGTACCTTTTCCCTTGACACATGTTTACATGTGTTTGTCTTTTGTTGGATGCAAATGCTCTGCATTGCGCTTCCCTTGCAAATCACCAAATGTCCAAAACCACTGCAAAAGTACAAAAAGAATGGAAACTCTCTATGCTTAAAAAACCCACCTCCCAAATACATCACTTACAATAAAATCTTCAACAATAACACAAGTAGGTCCTCCAAAGAACTTTTTTGTTCGCAGAATACATGATAGATTATTTATAAAGGGCTTTGTTTTGGTGGAATAACTTTACAAATATTATGCAGTACAAGGAGACAGGCATGGCTTGTTGAATGCACGTGAGAGCTATGGTAACTGAGCTGCTCCAAGGTGATAGTTGTTCCTACAGTCCTTAACCTGAATTTGAAACTGGGTGATGTATATTATGAAAGTTTCATAATCATACCCTGCCTCAAGCCTAGCATTAACTATTTCCATGATGTTTTATTGTTATCTTCCCTTAGGTTTCCCTAAGCACTCGCCTTCTTAATGTAACTTTGAGGCTGGCCATACTTATAGGGCAGGGCTAGACCAGATGATCTCCAGAGGTCCCTTCAAACCTATATTAGTCTCTAATTCTAAGCACTGGGCACCTATAAATTCAACACTTTGTTACTTTGGGTACCGTAGCAAGTACATAATCCAGATCCTGTCAGAGTTTCACAAGTTACATTTTTAAATAGCACCTTTGTAATTCTCTTGCACGTCCTTTTCCACAGAGATGCTGTTCCTCCTGCCAGGAATAATACTGTCTGTGCAGTTCCTGTTCCTTGGCTGCAGAAGCCAGTTTGGCAAGAGGTGAGATTGAATCAATGAGAGCCAGCCTACAGTCATTGGCCACTTCAGTGATGTGCAGGAGAATCTAATCACAGCAGAAGTCTGGCAGGGCTCTCTTAAAGGTGGAGACTGCGCTGATATGAGAAGTGAAGAACAACATGAGGAAGGGAAGCTGCTGTTAGCTATGTTTCTGTGAGACAAGTGGAGCTGTAACAGGTCTTCCAGACCAGTTAGAAAAAGATGAAATTGAAAGGGAGCAGCCAACAGAACTGTAGCTTCTGCCAGGCAGCTCTCTACCTTCCTTGTCCCAGAAACAGCTTGTGATCTTTCTCAGAATGGCAACTGACTGGGTCTTACCTGGGGAGGGAACAGAGATCACCCTGTGTATGCAGGGAGGCCATATGGGGACTCCTTGCTTTAATTTTGGTGACTGTTGCATGCTCTGGCTAAAGGCATAGAGGCATGGTGCAAAACAAATTGCTATATCCTTCCAGATGTCATGATCTCTCCAGCAAGCAATTTTCAAATGTGACTACTCTTGTAATCCTTGCACAGCATCCCTTGAAGAAACAAAGATTCTGCAGAGAAGCTCCCCAAGACAAGCCAGCACCCTTGATTCCTGACCACTGCAAGTCATCCTTGCTCCACAGACTTTCAGGGTAACTAGATTTCAGAGCAATAGAAGAGACAGTCTTGAAGGCATCTGTTCTGGCAAGGGTGCTGCCTTTGCAGTTAGTGCGGTAATCTAAATGTGTAGGTATAAAACTTCAGTTTTCTTCCCTCAGAGCAGACAAGTGAAGCTGGGAGTGTTTAAAAAGAGGCATGGATTCTCAAACGTGGGATAGATGTGAACACTGATAGTGGCTTTCCCTGGGCTCTACTGAACCAACATTTCCAAATAAGTAGTTATAATATAAGGTATGTGAAGCTACAGGTCCACTGGTCAGCAGGTCAAACCCTGAGGAATTTCACTGTAGATCTTGGAGCTAAAACTGATCATCTCCTGCTGTCCTGCAGTCCTGCTGTGTCCATGCCAGATCAGCCTGCACCTTATTTCTGCAAGTTAACACCCTGCGTTTCAACCTGCCTTTTTAAAGGAGACTTTGTCCTGCCCGTAAGTATATGAAACACTTTGTGATTTGTCTCCAGCAGTTCAACAGCTATGGCATGTTCTTCACATGAGAACAGATGCTAACTTTTCTCTAAGATCTCTGAATGACCTTTCATTTTGGCCATATTTTCTAAAAGAAACAGTTTATGAAGAGGGAAGGAGGGATTTTCTCCCCTACAAATAATCTAGCACTCCCTCTCATGATTGGTGCAGGTTATGTTGAAAATATCTCTTTGATACATGTGATATAGTGCTCAAGAAGCTCCTTTAAGTCATTTACCCTGCCAGAATGTTGTTACTTTCAGAATCTCACTTTACATTAAGGCTTTATCTCTAGCAAGTTAAACCTGCTGTAACTGGACTGCAGTTATCCCCTCTTTCCATGTATGGAAACCATTTTTCCACCTGTCAGCATAGTTGTAAATTTTAAGACCAGACGATTACAGCTATTTCTTTTAGTCTGTATTCTGCAAAACACGGATCAATGTAAGACTGAAGTTTTTGACTGCTTCCTCAAGTTAAGCAGAGTAGCCCTGATCCAACAGAAAGAAGGGAACAGGTAAACAACTGAAACAAGATTGACTCTTGTTCATGATTTGGGCATCACATCTCTAAAAAATGATGTTAGCAGATTTGCACTACAACCGTCAGCTGCAGAGCTTGTCATATGCAACAACAGGAGGGAATCTGGTTGAGGATTAATTTGTTACGTGATTCTGTCTAGCCTCTCCCCAAATATTCTGAATTATGTGTTTAAAGAGCAGTGTAACAGATACGAAGAGAGAATATTATATTGAAAGAACAAGTTCTATGTTAAAGTTTACACCAGATGCATCTAAGCAATCTGGACACAACTTGCAATAAATAGCTCCATTTTGGAAAATAGCATTCTTTACTGGCAAACACTCTTCTGTAAACTGTACTAATACTGATATAGGTGCTGCTTCTTACATTTTTAGGCTCTGTGCATGTGGTAGTCTTTCATACAAAGTCCTGTTTCAATCCCTTCTCCTTTCTCTTTCAAGAGGTTAATCGCTCTCTATGCAGAAAGGCCAATGTGGGATTTAAATACAGGTTAAAAGAGTGAGAATCTATATTCAGAGGCTAAAGGAGTTAAAAAAAATGCACTTTTCATGAAAATCCCTCTTCACAGAGAACACCTTTCACTGAAAGGCAGCGACGGTTTGCTTGCATGTTTGACTTGAACATCGTTGATTCCAAGGGCACAGCATTTTACAGGATTAAGCTTCACATTATGCAAATTACTCTATTAAGACCGATTCACCTCTCCGAGTTGTTTTGTGCCTTCAGGAAGGTATGATCTCATTCAGCTGTAGATATTAATCTATTTCCCAGATGGCACACAACCTTGCATTCAAGAACAAAAGGCAGCTTGAATACAGAAGTCCCCTAGGAAATCTGCAAAAACCCACTGAAAATATGTGGACATATCTCCCTGTTCAACTGATTACTTCATCACTTCATTCACTCCATTGCGTGGGATATATCCAGGTGCTTTGCAGCTTGCTGGGCTGATGCATCCTTTAACTCAGTTGATACACAAGCCTGCACAGTACTTAGCCTCCCACTGCTTTGTTGTAAGGGATATAAAATAAAGGCACTTATGGCAACCATTTCAGGTAAGCATCAGCAGCTCTAGTTTGAAGTTCAGTCTTTGTGAATACAAGCATGGGGCTGCACAGCGAGGCTGGGAGGCTCAGTCAAAGAGAGAGATGTAATCTGGTTCTTGGTCCTCTTGGCCACATGGGTAAAGCAACAGCTCCTTCCCCAAGGAAGTGATGGGTTCGTCCTGTTGATATAGGATATGATTAAACACCACCTTTCAAACAGACCCTACCTATCACAACATCATGGGGTGGACAGCAGTTTCCCTGCCTCTGTTAGGGTGTGCACTTGTTCATCCCGCTGTGTGATACAGCTCAGTGCCCCAGGAAACCTGGGGAAGGACCCACGTGGCCAACCTCTGTCTTCATAAAAACAGTGTCTGTGCTTGGTGCAGTAATCCAGTGACAGGATTCTGGCCGTTCTCAGAAAGGGCTGCGCTCGTCTCATAGGCAGCTGCAGTTTCTATGGTGTGAAATGCTGCCCTGCCTAGAAAGTGCTGGAGCGAGGACTGTGCAGCATGCAGGTAAGCAGAATGGGGTGGTTGTGGATCTTGGCTGCGTTTGTGGGAGGGACAAGGGTGAATCCTGGAGTGAGCACACGCCCTCTGCTCAGGCAAGCCCTGTTCTAACAAGGGAATTCCCTGATAGTACAATCTCTGCTTCCCATCTTGTCCTCCACGCTAGCAGCAGATGCATGGTGGGAACTTCTTTCATGGTCAGCCGGTAGGTGATAAGCAGAACCCACCAGAGTGCTTCAGCAGAGTGGGTTCACCCTGCCCACACCTGCTGTAGTGCAGGGGGTCTGTAGGATGCTTTGCAGACTGCGGGCATGGCTCTGTCTTTAGTATAGATATGTGCAGCCAGGCTTTAAATCCTCTGGCTCTGGTACCAATAGCCGTATAGCTCCTGCTTTCAATAATTTCAGCCTGAACTGTGAAACCCATGCAAGAAGCAAGTTCAGGTAGCCCAGGTAGAGCTCTATATAGCAAATTAACATAGATATTTTCCTCGTGTCCAATTTTGTTTAGCCATGCCTGTATTAGTCTAGGCACTTATTTAAAAGAAACATGGATTTTAAATGAACCTTTAGGCAAAATGATTGTTCTGTCCCTGGGCAGATCTTAGAGGAATGAACAATCCATCTGGCCCTCCTTGGAGCCCATGTAACAGCAGTCAGTGCTAGTAAACACTGCTGTTATTGTTGCAAGAACCTGCCAACCTTCTTCCTTTCCTTCTATTTTTCATCTTTGCTAAGTATCACACCTTGCCTGCTTTGAGATATAAAGATACCTCATTCTCTTTCATGCTGGAGGCAAGCAGGATTTTCTGCTTACCCAACTTGCTGGGACCCCACAACCATGGTGAGAATGCAAAAAAAAGGAGTCTGCATGAGTATGCTGTCACCTCTCACCTTATCAACATTTCTACTACATAGTGTGTAAGTAACTTGAGCCCTGTGTGCAAGTTGTTCTGCGCACTTGAGGGTGAGTGAGTCAGATCTAAGATGTTTGAGATGTGTTAGGTTACCTGAGATGTACCCATCAGGCTGGCACACCCTTCTGGAGAAGCACACAGGATACCCAATGGCAGCTAAAATGGGTCTAGTTACCTACTTTAAAACAACTGAATCTATTCTTTCTTATTTTTGAAGTGCCTTGAGTCAATTAAACAGTTAATGAATTCCTTGCTAGACGTTCACCTTGTGGTAGTCTACAAGGTCAGCCAGTGTTGAATGTTGTAGCTGGTCCACTCCAAGGAAGCTGTAGGAATCACTGGAGGCATCAATGAGGAAGTGTTTACATCCTTCCACAGACCGATAGGAGAGCACATAGCCTTTGATTTTCTCACTGATGCGGACCAGAAAACTCCCTGGTACTGTTTTATTCAGAAGCTCCTCTGCTTTCTTAGAAGTTAGGATACCTGTTCAAAACCAAAACACAAAACTGAAGGGAGAAAAGCATTAGTACAGGACTGGATGGAACAGTTCTCTCAAGAAATCTGCTTTACCGTGCTAAAACCAGTCCATGGCACTTCCGTCCCTTGCATTGTGTTCTTGACCAATAGCCCAGGAAGAACAGTACTGCCATTGCTAGTAACAGACCATGGCCACGTGCTAACTGTTCTTTATGTTAACTGTTCCAGACTTGGCTGATTATGAATGACAAATGTGCAGGGCTCAAAAGGACAGTTTCTGTGTTACAAGAGAGAACAGCATTGCAGTGTGTTGTATGTTGATTCCAGTAAGCAGGGCTGCGTAGACAGTGATCGTAGGTCCTGTCAGAAGGCCTTGCAAACATTGAAAGCCCAGTTACAAGAGGATAACGCTTTCATTGCTGCAGTCTTGGATTGAAGGGGTTTCCAAAGCAAGGGAGATGATAGATGGGATTATGATGACCCATCAGAAATGGGATGGAAAGGTGATGTATGATGAGACGTGGAGGGAGAATGACCCGGGGCCAAGGATGAGTGGGATGAGGTGTGCCCAAATCTCTCTCACCCTGAGCCAAACAGTTACTGGGGTGACCGTGCATCCAGTACAGGGAGGCAGGAGTGGCACAGAGGTACAGGGTATTTTGAAGATCTGGCCTCTGTTCTAACACTTTAGCTTGCCCTTTGTCATGATGCTAAAGGAATTTAAACTACATGCATAGATATTTAAAATGAAAAACGTAGCCACCTTTGAAAAGCTCCTGGGACCAGCCTGTGGCAGCAGCCATGTTAGCAGAAACAACTCCTTAAAGAGTTGGGTTGGGGCAGAAATGCTCAGGACTCACCGTGGAACCAAGGTGCTATCATGTCCGTGGTTTTCTGATAGCCAGCTCGGAGAGGGAATTGCTCCTCTTTGAACCACTTGATGATGCTTTCTTCAGTGGAATTGGAGATTGTCCTCTGGATTCCCTCTTTCCTGTTAGAAAAGACCATGGTTTGTGCATCAAGTTCAAACGACAGCTTTTGAGTCCTTGGCAGGACTTATTTTGTTCAGGATGTTAAGAACAGCCCTAAACAGAAGGCTTACACTAGTGCAGCTGTCAGCAATATTATATGGTTTTCAGTGGGCACCTAGCATAGAGGATGTGTGCACTCTAGACTTCCGATGCTCTACTAAATAAACCTGTTATCCTCTGGGGGTGAACAAATAAGTCTTGTCAGGCCCTAGGCTGGAATATAGCCTAGACTCTGTATTTTTCCCTGTGGGGTGTCTTCTCCACACAAGGAGAGCTAACCATTCCCACCTCAACCATCCCATGCTACAGCAGAAGAATCTCATCCCTTCTCCCTTCCACAGGGTTTTCCTTACCTAATTGGTCTCCCATTTGCCATCGCAGGAGGTAGAAGTTTAGGCTTGGGGGGGAGAGGCGGATATTGGAGTGGTCGCCGATCTCCTGCTGTGGCACCCTTGGAAATATCTGCCTGCTTCCCTTTGTGGATGCCCTGCAGTGAAAGCCTCCTGTAGTCATCCCTGGCTTGCCGTGCAAGGGAGCGTCTCTTCTCATCTGCTGCCTTGGATTTCCGCACTGGAACAAAAAAGGAGTCCTACAGGAGCGAACAAGCAGGCAAGTTTTAAGCTTGCTGCCCTTTGGCCATCTCCTGCTTGATGAAGTGGAAGAATAACCTGTTTCACAAGGTGAAACGTACTCAATTATGAGACCATTTGCCACATGTCTCCCATCACTTTTGGGCATCTGCTACTTAACGGGGTCCAGGTTTTATTCCTTCCAGAGATTAAAAATCTGAGTTCTTTCTGGACATCAGGTCCCTTTCTACTTAGAGACTGCTTGGTTTTGTTTCAGATGCTGACTCCTGGTTCAGACATAGATTTCTGTAGTGCCTTTCATGTGGGCCAGCACAGGGGGAGGGCATTTGGAATAAAAGCTGCTGAAATGACCCAAAATCAATCCTTTGAAGGATTTTAAAGTGGTGATCATTTTCTGAGGGTGGGAGGGAGTCTTGCTGAAACCGTAGCAGAAAGTGGAGAATTTGGCTGGGTATTTTTGTTTGGTTATAAAACTGCCTTGATTTTCTAGGTCCAGCTCATCCTGGAGTCTGTAGGAGTAACCAGCTCTCCTGTTGGTCTGAGTTAGGCTGGTTCTTTCCTTGCTTTTATAATCCACTTCAGATTATTTTTTTTATCAGTAAGAAAATTAAAACCTTGGCCTGAAGTAGAAACAATTGGTAGTACAGCATTGCCATCTACTGAGCAGCAGGGGAGGAACTGGGAAAAGAATAATGCATCAGGTTCTCCTCCAGGAAGTATCTGGCAGCAGTGATGGATACTACTGCAAGTCTCATACTGCTTGCTGTTTTCCTTCCTATCATTGGGATTCATTACATGAGACAGTGCAGCAGGGCTCTGCTTAGGTGGGATCGTGCTTGGATAACAGGGAAGCCCTTTTTAGTTAGTCCCTGTCACTCATTATCCTTGTCCTCAAGAGCAATGGTCACTACAAAGTCCTACAAAAGGCCAGCTTCTAGTTTAAAATTAATTATCCTGGCTATACTCATGCGGTTCCTATTTGTTTCTTGTTTTAATATGGTATCTGTAGGAAAAATTTTCCATTTCCCTGCCCAGCTCTAGTCTCAATGCTGTGTGAACTCAGAAATATTTCTGATAATGCAGCACTGCATTTCTTGGCAGTACTCTCCACCCACCGACCAATTATTCAGTTCCAATGTGGCAGGAGAAGGATTGAGATGATGCCACAGAGCCCTAGGATTTCTCAAGCCCCAGAGGAAAAGGTCATCCTAAGATCTTACAGGATTCCTGCCATTCAGGCTCATTCTCATCTGATTTCTGCAGTGTCCTCTGGCTCTCCAAGCTGGGGTGACTCTGTGGTATGGCCTCCTGGGGGGCTGTGGTCTCTTCTCCTGAATTTCTCCTCTGTGCTTCCTTTGTCTATGAAAGAAACAGCATGTTCAGCTTTGTCCCAGGCTAGTTTTAACCCTGCTTTTTAGCTAGACTTGAAATACTGGGATCTCCATTCTTTATTGTGAATCCCTCCGATTTCAACAACATACAGACCCTCTGTCTTTACTGCAGGTGACAACAGAGGAAGTAAGGGAAAACAGTCTACCAGAAATCATCAGGAGCATCTCCCTGTGCTGTTCCCCAGCCTGCCAGCCTGGCCTGTTTTGTATCATCTCCAAATCGTCGCACTGTACATGAGGAGCATGGCAACGCTGGATAAAACTGGTCCAAGAGTTGAGGATGTTCTTGGGTCAGATGAGGCTCTGAGGCTGACTGGGACTTTAGGATAAAGTCTGGGCTTCACTCAATATGTTAGGAGCATCCTAGGTTGCCACTTACATGTTGGAAGCCATGCTTCCTCACATGGCAGTCTGCCAGCATCTGGTGAACATCTCTGCTTTCCCTCTGGGTGGAGGAAAAGAGCAGTGAGAAATAAATACGGTGTTAGGACCATTGGTCTTTTTTGGAGTAATAGGTGTTTAATGCAGAAGCAGTGATGAGACATTTATGTTAAATTTTGCCAGCCTTCTCTGACAAACATTGGGTTTTTTTCATCATATTAGGCCTAATATGCCACAGGAGGAGAATTCAAGGGTGTCAGGATTGTCATAAGCATGCCTAGATTTGCTATGTGATGCTCCCAAGTGCTCCCAGAGAGCAGTTCCTTCCTCCCTCCTTCTAAAGCAAGCCCTAGCAGAACCTGCCATCCACAGCTTTACCTGCCTGCGCTTGTTTGCTGCTGTGGCTGGGGTGCTGCAAACCCCTTCTCATCAAACTGACCCAACTAGCTGCATAGCTCATGTTCACTCTTCCCTGCAAACCAATCTAGCTACCCTAGCAGCAGTTGCTAGCTGAAACCTGCCTCTGAAGATGAACAGTTAGACTTGTCTTTGAGCAAACATCCACCCACTTCCCCACTGGACCCAGACTGCCTCCCACGGCACAGTGAGCAATGAGTTAACTGTACTGTGCTGCTTACCAAGGACACGCTTTGTTTTATCTCCATTGCCTACTTGGCTAATATTTAATATGAACACAGCTTTCCAATTTCCCTCTCCTTGACAGGAAACTAGGAACTTCAAATGTGTGTGAAGCAGCTTGTTTTCTTAGATCAGACCCCTGTCCCATCCAGCAGACAAAGCACAATGTGCGGATCCCTCAGGTTAAATGGGAACTGGATCCCAGAGAAAGCACTTTAACGACAGAGGTGAGAAAAAGCCCATCTCTGGGCCTAGAAAATGCAACAGGGGTGTTTGGTCTGGATCCCTCCTTCTAATAGCAAAAGCCCCAGAAACGTGGGAAGAAATACTAATAATATAATGATAGACAAAACAAGTAAAGTATACAACCCCCCCTCTGTTTCCATGTGCAAGACTTTGAAAGGGGTTTAGAATTTTTTGGTGGTGGTGGGATTTTTGGTTTGGGGGGTTTTTTGCCTTTTTTTTTTTGTTAGCTGTGACTAATAGCTTCCTTTCAAAAGAAAAAAAAATCTCCCACATAGTTGCTCAACTTTAGCAAACAGTGCTAAGAAAAACCCCATGTGATTCAGAGGCTTTTGATAAAGGAGACAGCCATTCCGAATTCCCTTCAGTATTTTGGTAGCAGCAGGAGAGGCACTTTGCCAAAACCCAACCTTCAGTTATCATACTGAAATATGGAGTGGCTGTGTAATAAAAGAATGTACATTCATACAAGTTAGCAGCACAAGGCTGAATGAAAACTCTGCTGAATGAGATTGGACTTCTCCCATGAAGTTGGCAGAGTGTTCTGTTCCTTCTGTTCAACTTTGGTTGCATGGGTTGTTAATTTAACTCATCTGTTTCTCAGTTCTCTGCAAATGGCTTTTTGTAGCCAGTTAAAAAGTAGAAATGTATTTATTGCTGGAGAAAAATATTTCTGTAATGAAATACCACAGCAAAGCAGACACTGTAGTTACTGCATTTGGAGTTGTCCTGTGCTATGGAGGTCATAAGCTATTTTCTAACTATTTTAGAAGAACGACAAAAAAAGAAGAACCTAAAATAAGCATGTCAGAGGATGCTGGTAAAATTATCTTCGTCTGTTCTTTTATACAAATAGATGATTTGTTTGAGGGCTGTGGCCTTGCATGTACAGATCCCGGGATAACCTCCCCGGTCTTGCCCCAAAAGCCTTCAAAACCAGCCACAGAGCAGGAGGGAAAGTACTGCGACCCTTGTTTTACCCACGAAGAATGGAAGCAAAGGAATCCAGAGTAACTTATCCATTAGTACAGAGCAGATCTATCCCAGCTGAGAATAATACTCAGACCTCCCGAGTCCTAAGGAAGGATGTAAAAGCACAGCTTCTTCTCTGACTACAGAAGAAAAGCCTTAACAGTTTGCTGGCTTTTTTTCTTCTTCAAATTTTTATTTACAGCAATCAGGATTTGCTGCACTTCCTAGATCTCAAAGCACATGTTTCAGATAGTTATGAAGAGAAGGGGGAAAACTACCTTTGCGAGCTCCTGGCTTTTCCCTGTTGTAGCAGCAGCAGTTTTTCTCCCATCTTCCTTCTTTTCCTCCACAGTGCTTTTTTTATTCGCATGAAGATCTGTCTCACTCAGGACTCCTGGTTGTGGATGTAGAGACCGAGTTACAGAAGAGTCAGTCTCTCTGAAATGCAAGAGAGAGAAGAGTTAGGAACCCAAGGGAGTCACTTTCTGCTCTCTGAGCATCTTGTGAGGAAGCTGCACGTCAGCAGAGCAGTGCTGGGATGAAGCGACGTGCATGCAGGCAGCTATCATATCTCCAAATCAGGTAGGTGGAATAATTAAATTAATGACTCGTGGTGAGTAACTGTCGTCTTGCTGTACATGGGCACCTGTCGGTGAATCAGTGTAATCCAAACTCATCTCCTGCTGCAATAACAGAGTTAGCATTTCCTGTGGTCTGCAGAGGGTACTGCGCAGGAGCCGTATCACGGGAGGCTCAGTGAGCCAGGGCAAGCCTCAGGCTGGAGCTGGTCTCTGCCAGCATTGTGCGTACTCACAGAAAGTCAACCTTTGCCTGCGCCTTTTGCCTGCAAGTTGAGTGTGACAGTGGTAACCACAGCCCCTACAGAAAAGACTCCAGCCTCTGGGTCCCTAGAAATGCCTTCTCCTCCATGTCTGCCCACTGAGTCCTCCAGCTGAAGGGTGCTTACCTGCCCTCCTTGCCTTGCTCTCTCGCTAACCGCTTTGCCCTTTGTGCCTGGATCTCTTCACAGATGGCCGCGTACGATTTATCTGAAGGATGCTCACCCATCACCCAGACCCAGACATCATTGTCAGCGCCAAGCTTCCATGTCACCGACTTCCCGTTGGCTGGAAAAGAAGCAGCTCTTTGTTAAACACAGTTTGGCCGGTGGCTCCATGCAGGGCCTGTGTCCTGCCTGCTGTGCCCTCCTGGCTGCTGCCAATGGCAGAGCCTCTCCAAAAGTAGCTGTATGTGGGGAAAGCTTGGCTGAGACGCAGCATGCACCTCCCATTTCATTTCATGGTACTGAAGCCAGGTCAGTGAAGGAGGCATTTCTGAGTCTGTGGGCAAGGGAGCAGACTCACCACTGTTTCCCTTCTTGCTTTAATTCCTTGCTACTGCCCTCCCCAAACTGTGTGACATGAACTACCTGCAAACAGAGCACGTAGGGAAGAGCTGGGAGAAGAGTGCTATCTTCCTAGCAGCCGGCATGCTGTGTAATCCTGGCAAGGGGACTTCAGGTCTAAAGGCACAACGGGAACCGCCCTGGAGATCTGGTGCCCCAGGACAGATGTTCAAGTCCATGGTTATTTTATAGACAGATTCAGAGGCCCCATTTAGTGGGAAACTTAATGAGATTCATCTCCTGGGGGCAAGTAAGCCCTGTCTTCACAGCTAGGGGAGTTGAGCAATTTGGTCAAGGACAGAGTGTCTGGGCCAGGGAGTAAAACCATTGCGTGCCTGGCCAAAACTACCCCATTGCAGGTGGGTTTAGTTACCGTTTGGAAATATGACTATGATATGTCCCTGGGAGAAGAAATTAACAACACATTACCTCCTATTTCTAGGGAGCAGTTGACTTGGCCAGATCTGTGCCAGAGGGGGAAGCAGCCGGCAGGCAGAGCCTTACCTTTTCTCGGCAGTGGCTTCTTTGCTAAAGCCTTGTCTGCAGCAGCTTCTCTTTCCTTCCACCGTCTGATTTGTTCCTGCCTCATCTTGAAGAAGAGGATCTGCTTCTGCTCCTCGCTGAGTTCTGCCAGCAGGTCAGGATCAATGTACATGTCCGATAATATCTGTTTCAGCATGGCTGCAGGTTTCAGTTACACACGTTTGTGGCAATGATCTCCAGGGATCAGATCCTCTTCCTGGCTCCGACAAGAGTCCCTCCCTGCCTGAGCCTGGAGCAGGAATGCAGGCGTGCCAGACTAATTATACTTCTCTCTCTTTTTTTTTTTTTAGCTCAGACTTCCTGCACAGACCAAAAAAAGTAAATAAGTAGCTTAAAACCTGCTGTTAAGATTCTTTGAAATAAGAGGTGAGCTCAGCTCCCACGCAGCCCCTGTCCGCTCTGCTGGGAGAGCTGGCCAGAAGGGACGAGTCCTGGAGTGGGGAGGTTGTGTTGATACTCTGATAAACCCAGCTGATAGTATATCAAAAGAGAGCAAGCGCTGCCTGTTACCGTCATCAGAGGTGCGGCTTGGCTGTGCCCAAGCAAACATTCCTGCTGGGCAGGGAATCAATGAACCCACGACTAGACAGCTCCTCCTCCTTCCAAAGAGGAAAACTTTGATGATCAAAAGCCCAGCCTGCCTTGTTTTACCAAAGAAAGATGGGGAGTGCTTTCAGCTCTGGTTTTGAGGTGGGAGTGGGAATTTTGGAGTGCTCCTGTCCATCAAAGGCAGCTTCACAGCAAGTCAAGGGATCACAAGTAGTGCAGCTGGTTTGAAGAAAGACAACTTGCATGGTCAGCAGCTGAGGAGCTGAGGCAGCTCCCAGTCTGACACGTCTTGCTGATGCACCTTGCCCACGCTGTGAGCCTGGCATGGGACATCCCTGTCTGACAGGACGAAGCAGGGAGGTATGGTGACCGGGAGTTGGGGATGAGCCTTCTCATTTCTGTTTTGTTTCTCTGGTTACTTTGTATTATCCCTATTAAAAATGTTAATTCCAGAAGCATGGAACTGCTGTTCCAGATATATATTGCTTTTGTTTAAACAAATGGCTTTCGTGATTAAAAAAACAAAGGCTTTTTTGGGAGGTGGTCTCATCTGGGCAATGCTTTCTGAGTATCCCCCTGAGAGCAGAATTGTTCCAGCTCAGCAGCCCAAGGGGCTTGTGCTGTCCTTGAGCCATGGGAGGTGGCAGCTGTAGAGAGGGAAGAGCTTTTTGTGGGGAGGGTGTTGGTGAGCAGTCCCTCATCCCTTGGGGTACCTGAACTGTCTATTAAACTGCAAAACTGGGGAAGACTGCTGGAGGATTGCTGTTTAAGTTTCACTGCCTCCTGCTCCTAAGCACTACCTGAAAGAGATGTCATTTGCAAACAGATCAGGGTGTCAGAAAAGCACCTTTAACCAGAAATGGGTCCCTTAAGCTTTTAGTTGTGTTTTTTTAAGATCAGTTCAACACAGGACAGTATAAAGGACACAAATATTGGGGTTTATTTTGGGTAAACTGATGTCTTCAGAAGGTACTTGGTGTTGCTCTGATTGGAGGGGACATGACAATCTCTTTGTCTGAGCCCAAGGTGGGTTTTGTTTGGAGAAACCACCAGGGTTGCATCCTTTGTGGGTCTGAAACAATAACTGAAGTGGATGGTAGCTCTGGGCATGGTCTGAGCTTGATGGTCCAGCAGAGATGCCTTCCATGGGTCAACAGAAATTAATAATAATGTCTAAAATTGAAGGGCCTTTTAACAAAAGAGACTTGTTGCATGCGGGGAGGTGAAACACTTTTATTCCCTTCAGGTGAGAAGGTATCATTTGTGCTTTGTGTGGTCCAAACGCTGAGCGGTTTTGTTAAACAGAGGACACTCAATACCTTGCCGGGGGGGGAAAAAGGCCAGCCAGCTGGTCAGGCTCTGTCTTCTGGCTCTGGATCAGCAGAATTACTTTTTCCCCAGAACTTCAAGACAGTCGCAGTTCACTAGCCAGAGGGATGCTTGGAAAAGAGGATGGCCAAAAGTCATCCTGTAAGGATGTCTTTGCTACAGCTGAGCAGCGGCTGTGTGTGGCTCTGGGTGGCAGGAGCAGCTGGAACTGGCTGGAAGTGCAGATCATGAGTTTGAGTCCTGCACCCTTCCTCTTCATACAGCAGTGAGCAGCTTGAGTCCACCTCACCATCACATCAGCCCTCCTCCTCACCCCTTGGCTGCACAAGAGGCATTGGACACAGCCCAGAGTGGCTTATGTTGCAGAGTTAAAATTTGCAGTGAGCAAAGCTGCAGTGGTTAAGCTGTGTTTCTTTCCCCATCTCTCCCAGTACTGCCTCTTGGTGCTTTAGGTGCCCTTCCTACCTCTGTTTGGGATGTGCTTCTGTCTTTGAAGGTTCCTTCTTGTATCTTCTGTATCCAACCTGACTCCTGCCTGACTGGGCTTTCTTTTTCCCCCAAAGCACTTGGGAGACAGAGATTGTTTGTAATTATTGCAAGTCTTATCCTTAGTTAAATTAGGCTTCCTGGGACATGATGCATGAGAAGCCATGAGCAGAACACAAGCAGCACATCCATGCTGCTCTGGCTTCTCAGGAGTGGGAATGGCTTTGCTTTGGCTTTTACTTAGAAGGACATGATGCACTCTGCCATATGCAGTGGTGACAAACTGGTCCCTCTTTCCACGCCTGGGGACACAGTGTGTAGGAGAGGTAGAAGGGCACTCAGCAAACAAGTTTCATGGTATTGATGTAGTTTTGCAGCGTTGGGTCTCTGTAAAGTTGGTTGTAAGAGGAAATTTACAATGCTGTGTCCCCAAGGTAACCTTAAAAGCACCAGCTATTTTAACACTGGGAAGTCACATAAGCATTTTGAGAGGTTTGCAGTATTTATTTTTTAGCAGTCACTTCACTGAAGATCTTAGGAGCTGGAAGTCCATATAATATCAGTCATATGCTGTTCCCAAATTTTGAATGAAAGCCATATTACCGACACTTGGCCAGAAGTGTTTTTGCTGACGCTGTTCCAGCTGTAAGTAGTATATTTACAGCTCAAACTTAGGGAAGCCAAGGACTGCAGTAATGGCAGTGGACATCTGAGCAGGTAACTTGTAGGAAAACTCTGCTAGAAGTCTTGTTAAACTTTCTACTGCTTGTGTTTTTTCATGAGAGTGAGGTAGGAGCTGTTTTTGTGGAGAAACAGGAGACAAGAGTAGCCCAAAATAGCAAAAATTAAGTGGGGAGAGGTGGGAAGCCAAAGCAGGGCTTTTGGGGCTCTACCACTTGTATGTAAGATAGTTGACTTGAAAGCCATAAGGGTAAACACAATTCAAAGGTTAAATGACCCTTCAAAAAGCAAGGTCACACAGCATTTAAATTGCCTGCCAGAGAGAAACCTCTTTGTGCTCCTGTAAATCATCTACCATTAACAGGGGAAACATAAGTCCATGAATACACATAAAAGTGCAATCACTTTGAGAAGAACTGGCATGAGTTCCTGCTCACATATGACACTTTGGCCACTGACAGTCTCACGGTACAAGCCCATCTGGCATCCTAGTCTTGGTCCTCACCATCAATGCTGCCAGCAGAGAGAAAGGTTCTCCAAGAAAACAATAGACAAACATACATAGATAGGCATTTGATATGATTCACACCAATAAATCAAATAGGAGGGTGTAAAATGAAATAGTGGACAAGTTGAATGGTGGTTCTTGGGCTGATTTTCTGGGAGGCAGCTTCTTCAACCTGCTGTACACATCTCTGCTGTAAATGTGACAGTAACTTTAAACTAAAAATAACCCAAGAAACTCAAAGATGAGAAGAAAAGCAAACACAAGGAAAGCTGCTTCAGGGTACAGTCTGACGAGCTGAGAGCATTTCCATTGTCACAAAATAGCTTTTCCCATAAAAAGCAGATTAGACCAAGTTGTTCAGAAAATGATGGGACTACATTGCTTTGAATCAAGAGCTTCTCCTTGGAGCTGGTCTTCTGCTCAGCAACAAGTGGCTGCAGAGGCACCATCGGGAATTATTTTCCCAGGCCAAGAGGATGGGCCAGGAGACCATGACTGAATTTCCTTTCCCTTGCCAAACTAAGCCCTGCAGCACCGAGGAGGTATTTTGCTTAGGTTTTGCTGTATGTGTTCAGTTCCAGGCACTCCAATGCCATCACCTCCCTGTCAGGCTTTAGGAAGGGCTTTCTGATTTTTTGCAGAAGTTGAAGGAAAGCAGAATTACCAAACCCACCTCATATCAGCGTGGCAAAAGCTAACTGCTCCCCCAAACCTTGCTCTCAGTATGCAAGCCTTCATGGGTTAACTGTCATACATTGGTTCATAAAATGCACTTTTGTTAAAAAATATTTATGTTAGCAGCTGCACCGGCAATGTTACTAACAAAATATCCTTCTGGGCTTTGGGTTTTTTACAGTCTTTGTTGGCTGGTGGTTTATTTGTTTTGTTGGGGTTTTTTTTGTTGTTGTTGTTGGTTTGGTTTTTATTTTAAATCCTCATCCTGTTCTAAATAGGGGAGTGATTCATTCTTCTCTGTTTAATTTTGCTTCAGCCTACCATTTTCTGTTTCAGGCGGAAGGAAAACTCCTGGTTTGGTCATAATAGAAGGAAAATATGACTGTACGAGCTTGGCCCTCAGAAGACAGAACTAGACCTGTTTGTATCTTATTTAGCATAAATAGATTCTGTGTAAGGCTGGCATATAACACTTGAAAGAACAAACCCAGTGAAGTCACCACAACATGAACTACCTTGAAATTACCTATATCTGAAATGACTTGCCCCATAGGTCCCTGATTTTGCTGGAGGAGGCACGGGTTATCTTACAGCAGGCACAAGTGGATGGGGATGGCAATAAGGAAAAATAATTTGATACAGCAGTGGTTACTGAACACAGTTTGAGGCCACATGGCTCTACTTTCAAGAAAAAGTTTCCTTCCCTGCTAGAATTAAGTACAAATACTTCTTGATCTAGGCATAGTGAGAATCATCTTCCTATATCAAAATTACTTAGAGAATTACCAATTAAAAGGTCAGTGTGGTGAAAAGGGTGAGGGCTTCTATAGGTTAACACACAGGATCAGCTACCCAACCAAACCCAGCCACTCTAAGAAAGGATTTTTTCTAACCATGACACCTAATTTAGTCTGTTTGCAGGTTTTGAACAACTTTGGGGGGGGGGGTTGAAATGAAAACTGCAACATTTTTATTTGCTAATTGCACTGGATGGCTTTGCCAGGGAAAGACCATTCTTGCAAGCGGGAAGGAAGATATTATGAGTAGCAGTAGGCACACAAAGCTGCCATTTACATTTTCCACATAGTTACTCATTCTTCTAAGCCCACAGTTGTTCTGCACTGATATAGTTTTGCCACTGGAAGCCTCAGGGCAAATGAGAAGTGTTGGCCAGAAGCAGCTCTGAGCCTCTCAGCCCTGGCAAGCATAAGGGCTGTGCTGGTGGGACCCAAGACTGTCCCAGCTCTTCAGTGGGAACTGCCCTGGGGGGGAGAGGTGCACCCTGGCGAGTCTGATCCTGTCCCAAACCTCTCCAATTTCAGAAATTATTTGCTGTTAATGCATTGCTTGGGCATTGTGGAAACACAGGATAAAACCCAAGTCACGTGTTGATATAAATTCTGTGAGGAGAAGGAAGGGCATTAGTTCTTGCCTATAACTATAAACTGGTTTTAAAACTGCATGCAGTTATTAAATTGCATGTGCTACTAAGGGAAATAAATTATTTGCGTGAAGATGAGGCACCCAGAAGGCAGGGATCCGAGTCTGTGTCATCCCCCAGGGGACTCTTGGGGGGGGGGAGGGAATATTGGGACAGAAAATGTGGTGAGAGGAAGGTAGTGGGTGGAGAGGGCTGTGTTAGATGACAGGGGTGAGACAGAAGCTGTTCTGGAGGACTGGAGAGATGGTAATCGGTTTTCTCTTGCAAATAAAGTATGTTAAACACCTGTTGATCTCCCCTCTCTGTTAGCTCATGTGTGACACTCCTCCTTTGCCTGGATTTGGTGCTCAATGCACAGCCCTGGTTGCTGTTGAAAGGATTGAATCCATCGACCAGGAAGCATAATGATGCCATGGGGTTTTAGCCAATTCTTGGAAGAATGAGTATGAAAGAAGGTCTGCTCCCCTTTCTATTTGAAGCACTCGGGAAAATGAAAGCATCACACCACTTCAACGGTGCTGGATGTCCCCCATGTGTGTCCTAATGTCACCAGTAGCCCTTTGCAAGGGGCCGGCCCCAGTGGCTCTCCCTTCTCCCAGGCATACACTTGTTCCCACGCCTTCCCCATCCTCACCTGGCCCCCCGCACCTACCTCCATCACTCCCCAGCCTCAGGAATGGCTTCCTGGGCTCCCACCTGGCCTCCTACCTGATGGAGTCACTCACCCCATCTGTTTTTTCATGAAGAAGCCCCAGCAAGGGGCAGAGCCCAGCATGGAGCTGCCCAAGGAGCCATCCTTGTGCTAACCCTGTGCCATGGTCCTGGGGTGCCAAGGCCCAAAGCCCAGGGTCTTGGTATCGGTGTTGCGCCTTACTGGGCCCCTGCAACTCACTGACTGCTCCTGTGCCTGTGGGTTCCCCCCTTTTCTGAAGCCATACTCTCTGCTAGTGTCAGGGGCACTGCAGGATTTCCAGCCCATCCCCAGGGAATGTCCCAGCTGATTCCTGCATCTTGTACCTTGTGTCAGTTTCCTGGAGCTGATTTCAGGGCGATGGGTCTCCCTGGCCCTGGCCCAGTGGGTGGGAAATACTGGGAAAGGTGCTTAAAAGGGTTCAGGGTAGAGAGACCCTTCAAGTGGGGAGGGTTTGGGCCATGGGTCCTGTGCCTGGAGCACCCAGGGTGCCAAGAGCACGGTTTTTCTCTGATTCCTATCCACACTGATGCAACCAACATGGACCTTGTTCCCTCAGCTCTGGGATGAGTCCCCAGCGTGGCCCATAGCGCACCCTGCTGCAGGATGAGGAGAGGATCTGGACAATGCCTTGGTAGTGAGGCGCTGCTGGGGGGTGACCAGGGAAATGAGAGACAACTGGAGGATGCTTGGTGCTTGGGCTGCAGTCATGCTCACCTACAGTAGAAGCTGTCCTGGGCAAGGCAGAGACCAGGCAGGAATGGGACAGGGGCAATGAGCAGGAGCAGCTTGGGGGCCAGGGAGAAGTGAGGTGGGGACCAGAACAGGGGCACCTGTGTAGAACCCCACCGGAGGTTGGTATCTGATTGCGTTGGTCCCCAAAGCCTGGGAGGCCAGCATGCACCGGGCTGAACTCAACGACTGAGAGAGTCTCTGGGAGAAAAGGCGCTTTTCACACCATCTTCGGATGTCCAGCTC